CAAAACCAAGCAAGGTTTCCAAACCAAACATACCTTTTCTACATGTACAAAAATTAATCCAACCTACTAGCGATGGCCTCCACCCTAAGAGCGATGGCCTCCAACCTAATAGCGATGGCTTTCCAGACCAAGCGTATTTTCAGACCCAACTACGCATGACACGCATGACACGACACATGGGGGCACGTCCTCTCCCACATCGATGCTTCCGTTCGAGATCATCTTCCAAAGCCCTTTCCGGTAGGCAAGGCAGGCAGCATGGGGCCCTTGGAGAACTTCGTAGAGTTCCAACAGCCCAACCTCGATCGGACGCGACGTGAACGTCATCGGGGTACTGCATCGCGACGAGGCGCAAGCGATTTCGGACGCGACAAACGTAACAAAGGGCGTGTCTACTAGCAACAAGAAGCTACTAGGAACAAAGAGCATTTCATGACTTCCTTTTCCTTCTGTTTCCTCCTCAGATTATAGACGGTTTGTCCTTGTTGGTCTCTTTTCATTCTTTTGCACCCTTACTAAGCCTTACTACAAAGAAGGCTTTCGTGCAAGAAGCAACCGTTAAGTGGGCCTGTTTATGTTTCGTGAGTTTCCCGGCTTGAGATCAGAAAAATCCAAACCTGATAGCAATGGCCTCCACCCTAAAAGCAAGTTGTACCTCAACACAAGATCACAGTAGCCACATTACACCAAACCTCACACATTGTAATCACTACCTCACACCTAGCGCTTTTCTGCACAAGCATGATCTGTTGCATGAGGTTCGATGACTCAATGGTTACTAGTAGCGTCCTTGCTCCTAGTAGCGATGCCCTTTGCTCCTAGTAGCGTCCTTGCTCCTAGTAGTAAGGCCAGGAGCCCCTAGTCTCGTCTTTGCTCCTAGTAAGAAATGTATTGGTGCACTTCACGAGCAATGTGTTTTGGCACTGGTTAAACGACCAAAAATGACCAAATGGATGCAGTTTCGAACCTGCTCTTTTCCTGTCGCAAACAATGTTCCACCAAAAAAGAATCACCCAAACAAGGTCGCCAAAAGTCTTCAAATGTCTTTTTTTCGGAAGCTATTCGGTGGGAGGCCATCGTCTTTTGCTAGCCAAAGCCACCGGCTCTAAAACTCGGAGTCCATTTTCGCACTCCTGGAAGCCCATCACATCAAAGGGTCGATCCTGGCGTCTCTGGGAGTGGCACGAGTTACTCCGTTAAAGAAAACCTACTAGCGATGGCATCCGACCTCTTTGCGATGGCCTCCAACCTAGAAGAAAGAAGGAAAAGAAGGAAAAGAAAGAAAACAGACACCTCCAACCTACTAGATGCACATTTGATGAATATGTGTTGTAGCCCATCTTGGAACGAAAGGTCTGGGATGCAAAGAAACAACAGCCAGAAAAGCAAGAAAGGCGTTTCAAAGTCCAAAGACGCTGTTCAAAAGCCCTGGTTGCATCCCCTTTGTGCCGCAATCTACGGCTGACCGACCTCCTCAACCTCTGCTTTGATGAGATTGCCAGCGCTATCTCCGTCACCTGAGTGCATCGCTACGAACCGAGCGATCGGACGCTACGAAGGTAGCTCCTGGCATCGCTACTAGGAACAAGAAGCTACTAGGAACAAAGGGCATCGCTACTAGGAGCAAGAAGCTACTAGTAGCTCCTGGCCTTACTACTAGGAACAAGAAGCTAGTAGAAACAAGAAGCTACTAGGAACAAAGGGCATGGTTACGAACGGAGCAAAGGGCATCGCTACTTTGATCATTCCATGAAGCGTTCTTCACGGTTTTTGGGCTTCAGGAGTCTAGCACGGAAGTGAGGTCCTTGGATTTCAGCATGGCAAAAGAGGATTCTTGTTGCTCGCCTTGTCTGACTCTGTACAGATTCCACCAGAAGAGGTTGTAGGTAAGAACCTGCGACCGCGCAACTCCTTCTTCAAACCTCCTCTTTACCTATGCTCGGAGTGCCTGTCTTCCTTTCTCTTTCCGTCTCAAATTCTTGTCTCTAGCTTCATATCAGCAATTGCCAGCAACATATGCCATAGGTGTGTCGACTACGCAAAAATACATCGCAGTACAATTGTTTATGACAACACAAGTTCTTGATGAAAAAGAATAAACATGCTTTGAGGCCATCGCAAGTCGATTGGAGGCATCTGCCGGCCTTGATCGTGAGGTTCCCACCCTCTGGAGATGGAGGGGTCAAGTTTCCGGCTGGAGGCCACAGGCACCACTTGGCAGGCAACCTAGGCACTTAAAGAGTAACGAGTGCATCGCCACTAGTAACAAGAAGCTACTAGTAGCAAGGTGCCTTACTACTAGTAACAAGTGCATTACTATGTCATGAAATGCCTTTGATGTGCTTCGAACTCGAACTAAGTATCCTTTTCGAGCTTCTTTTGAAGCATTTCATGCTTGTGCCGTGTTTGTCCGCGTTTGAAGCCGAGAAGTGCACGGAACACCACACGGAATGGGGCATCTGCCTGCCGCGACTCGAAAAGCACTTTTCAGGTACCCCCTTGTTACTAGTAGCGTCTTTGCTCCAAGTAGTAAGGCCAGGAGCCCCTAGTAGCTTCTTGCTCCTAGTAGCGATGCCCTTTGTTACTAGTAGCTTCTAGTTACTAGTAGTAGTAATGCCCTTGTTGCTAGTAGTGATGCCCTTGTTACTAGTAGCGAGAGTAGCGAATGAAACCTTTTTTTGTGGTCTCTGCCAAAGCGTTTTGAAGGGAGAATTGCTCTTGTTCTGAAAACCCACAGCCAGTAGCAGCTACTTCAGTCCGGGCCCGGCGAAGAAAGTGTTCTCTTCCGTTGTAACGGGAGGTGGCATCCCAAAGTGAGCGAAGCGAAGCGAAGCGTTCAAGAATGCACTGTTCACTTGTAATGGCCTCCAACCTAGTAGCAATGGCCTCCAACCTAATAGCTTTACATTATTTCTTGTCTTTCCCCTTCTTAAACCTTCAGACCGTTCTTTCTTTTCTTTATTCTTGCGCGAGTTGTGTGACTCGTTCTGCCTGGAAAGTGGTCATACATGAACTTTTGCAAGTCGATGAGGGGTGAGTCGACCGTGAGGTTGGGATACCACTCAGGATGCTTACCTGAGTTAAATCTCGGGTGAGGTCTCTTCTCTATGAAAAAATAGGAAAGCAAAAAAAAGGAAAGAAATAGTAGGGTCTACGAGTCTACAGGTCTTCTAAAGGTCCAAAGAAAAAAGGAAAAAGTTTGACAGCATACGTTGGAGGCCATCGCCAGTAAGCTTGGAGGCCATCACTATTGCTATATATCTAAATATCGTAGAAAATACTATAGCAATAGCATCTATAGCATTTTGTATAACATCTGTGAGCGTCACTTCATCTCACAGTTTCGGTCTTCTCTGAGCGCTCCACGCATGCCCACCTTCCGGGCCCACATGATCTGCCATGGGCGGACGGGCGCCCGATCGCGTCCGATCGCGTCCCGTTTCCTTCGTTTCGTCGCGAGGCGTTCGGAGTTTCGACGAACGGCAATAGCTTCGCTGGAAAACGTTGCCAAATCTTGTGGGAAGAAAAAGGACGGTCTTGAGGTCTAAAGAGTCTAAAGAAAGAAAACAAAACAAAATTGAAGACCAAGACCTTTAGTGTGTTTCCTTAAACACACACGATTCCTCTTGTGCTTGTCACGATTCCTCTTTTACCCCCCGTCCCCTCTTCGGCCTCACGAAAACATCGTTCTCCTTCGACGGTGGTGTGACAACCCACTTTCTGCTCACCTGTGGGGAAGAAGGGGACACAAACTGCGGAACGCGTTCTTGGAAAAGAAAGAAAGAACGAAGGAAAGGAAAAGGTCTATATATAGAGTCTAAAATCTAAAGTCTTAAGAAAGAAATGACGTCAAATATACAAGGAATCTGGTGAAGGCGTCATCCAAGCATTCTTGTTACAACCGTAGGGAAGGGCCCGGTAGTCACGAGTAGTTACTGACAGTACAAGACGTGGGCCTCATGTAGTAAAGTGTATACAAGAAGCCCTAGGCTACTAGGAACAAGGACGCTATTAGGGGCTCCTGGCATCGCTATGAGGAAGCTCGTAGCTTTGGCCGAGCCTTTAAGCTGAAGAGCATTGAAAGCACAGCTCTCAGCTGCTAAGCATTCATCATCCAACTGAAGCGCAGTCTCCTGGCGAGGAGTTTGCGCATTGAGCACGTACGATTTTCCACACCATACCCACTCCCAACAAGCGAACAAGGCCCTGAAGGTCAAGGTCGTGTCGCCCAACAAGAACACTCACTTTTGGCCGATTGGACGTCACATGTGTGAGCCCAATGGACGAAGGATTCCAAACCTAAACGGGAATGGCCTCCGACCATTCGCCGCAAAAGACATTCCGTAAAATCGGTTGTCTCTTCAAGATTAAGAACCTCTTGAACAGCACCGACTTCGACAGGGACTGCTTTTTGCCCGTCCTCAGTGCTGCCCAGCAAAGGCAGCACGAAAAACACCTGGATGTCGACAGCAGATGTGGGCAGTGCGAATCAGAAGTCAATGCACATTGCCCTTGCAAGTATCTCAAATCGTTTTTTGCTTTGGAAGATCACAGCAATAAGAAAAAAGGACGAGTGACTAAGAAATATGGAAGTCCTAAAAGCATCCGAAGAAGCACAAGGAAGGAATAAATGTGAGCAAAGGCCTTGTTTCTTCCCACACGCTACCAAGGGGTAGCGTCTGCTCCCAATGTACTGCTGCCAAGTCTCTTTGAGCATCAGTAAAAAATAAACTATCCGATGGCGATGATTCCGCCAATCGGATTACTCGAGCCAGAAAGGGCCAAGAAGACGCAATTCAAAAGACGCAATTCAACTGCAAATGAAAGGATTCGAACCTAGCAACAAGCCTACTAGTGATGGCCTCCAACCCAATTGCATCAAAAGACAAGCAGTGCAAATGAAGTACAATTGATCTCTCTGAAACACAAAAAGCGCTGCATGATCCCATGAATTACCAGGACCAAGCAGTGTTTGTCCCATGTTCATCTCAGGTTCAGACTCGCACATGGGGGTCAGCAATGTTCGGCCGGTCGGACAAAAAGTTCTCGCCCTGGCAGAGCGAAAATGGAGTCCACCGTTTCGAGCAAATTAGGCAAACTGTAGCTACTAGCCTAGACCAAGCAAACATGTCCAAATCAACAAGACACCTTCTAAGGAAGGCCCCTCGAGGCAAGAAGGAGTTCCGACATTTTGATGGAAGGAGCAAAGGGTAGCGAAGTTCAAGACACCTACAGTAGGGATGTAGAGAACATTCACTTCTTTATATAACTTATACTATATGCATGTGTTTTTGCTGCACCACCCTTATTTTTAGGCTTCTAAGACAACATCCTTTATCTTTGGTTTTGGATCTTCAGCTTCTGTCACGCTGAATTTGCATCGGTTCCAATGTTTGGTGCTCTCACCTTGACATCCCGGTGCATGATCTCGAGGCTATGTACCTGCCATCAAGATCGGCAGATTGCTGGGTCAAGGCTCGGACTGGCGCAGAAATCCACATGATTTCGTTTGCAAACAGAAGAGGAGGCCTGCCCTGATTAAACCAGGCCATCGCTAGTAGGTTGGAGGCCACCACGCTAGTAGGTTGGAGGCCATCACTAGCAGGTTTGAATACTTTTTATTGGGGTTCTTTCCAGGCAAATCTGCCATGATTCCTTCGTGAAACCGATCCCTCCCAGGACCAGCTCCGGGGATTTGGCATGGTCGCTGCCGTGCAGGCGGTCTATGACCCCGGCGTGAAAAACCATTAGTAGCTTCTTGTTACTACTAGTAAGGCACCTGTTCCTAGTAGCGTGGCACTTGTTACTACTAGCTTCTTGTTACTAGTAGTAAGAATGCTCCTAGTAGCGATGCCAGGAGCCCCTAGTAGCGTCCTTGCCCCTTTCGAAAAATCCGTTGTGAGTTGTCCAGGGTGATTCCATCCCTTGTTCCGTTCGTTCGGCGCACATGCGCCACGGCAGCAGTCATCTGCTTGGCCAGGTGTCGCAACTGCTTGTTTCGCAGCCGCCCTGAAGCCTCAGCATCGGTGAACGGTTCAAAGACGCGTTTATAGGAGAGGCGGTCAGCTGTAAATCGGGCCGGCTGTGGATTCTAGTCCGGACCCTGGCTGGACGGCGGATCGACGGCACGCCGGAGACCTTTCGACCCGGAACCGGCTCCGGTACACCGGAGAATACCTGATAGAGTTCTTGTTGAATGTGAATATCTGGTTCAAAACAACCTTTTAGACCGTTCTTTCTTTCCTTTCTTCTCTCCGTTCTTTTCAGGACTTTTGGCCCTTTAAAATGTCGAAAGAAAACACCTAGTGAAACAAGGAGTCTTTCCTTAGAAGCAGCTACTATTTTAGGGGCTTACGCCCAATAGCTAGCCAGCAGGGGGCCTAGTGGCACGGCGTGGCGGTGGTTGTGTTGGTGGCTATGGCTATGGCTGTGGTTGTGGTGGTTGTTGTTGTTGTTGTGGTGGTTGTTGTTGTTGTTGTGGTGGTGGTGGTCCTTGTTGTGGTTGTTGCTTTGACCAGAAACAGAAGAAAACACATAAAATACAAATAATGCAAGGCAACTTGGGCTGCATAACTTGCACCATGAGACTATCTTAAGCCATCTTGAAGGGGCGGTACCCCAACGAGCAAAAAAACGCTAGAAACATAGCCTTTTTCGATGTGTTGTGTGCCTGCGTTTGTCTGCAAGAGCAGAAAGCATCGGTATTTGCGAGGTTTTCTAGCCCCCTCCGTTTTCGCCCGCCTCCGAGCCTCCAGAGCCTCCTGACCCTGGAGTTCCCGCGCTAGGTCGATGCTAGGTCTGCACTAGGTCGGCCAAGCCCTAGTTGTGGCGTCCTAAGCCCTCAGGTGTCCCCAAACTTGTGATGCCAGGAGCCCCTAGTGGCGTCCTCGCTCCTAGTAGCGATGCCAGGAGCCCCTAGTAGCTTCTTGCTTCCCAGACTTGTGATGCTACAAATTCTCAAAGCCTGAAACCTGGTAACCACCCGGAAAGACTAAAGTTGTCTGCACCGGGTTGAAGATGCCTTGGTCTTGGAAAAGGCCAGCTTCTTCTAGGTTGGAGGCCTTTCCTGTTAGGGTGGAGGCCTTGCTATCGTCTTGATTGCTTTGTGTTTGAGTCTTTTTGAGAGTGAGAATTCCCGAGGCTGGAGCCCGGCGATGTAGGTTGAGTCCATCCACAAGGTCGCCCCCGTTGAAGAGGTCCATGACAACACTCACGAATTGGTTCTGCCAGCTGAACAAGCGCAGTAAAACAGGAAAAGAAGAAAGATCTCAAGGCCTAAAGGACCAGAGTCTAAAGAAAATAAAGAGGACAAGGGGGAGAAAGAGTAGGCAGGCTTCTGCACATGCACCAATGCAAAGCCCTTGCAACTCCCTCAACCGTGTGTCAGGCATTCTACACGCAATATCATCCGAGACGTGATGCTGATTGTTGGCATATGCGCACACCCAGAATGCCGTGCGCTGACAGCTGTCAGACCAGGGCATGCTGCTCCAAACAGGCCAGAAATTTACACACTCACTGATTTTCACGGTAGGAAATTGAAACAAGTCGACTTTAAGCGTGTCGTTCGTGCCGTTTGGGTATCTGCAACTGGTACACTGGTAGACCCCAAAGAAGCCAACAGTGATGTAACCCAGCCAGGATGGACATCATGTCACCACAGCTGAACCCTCGAAGCACTCTCCAGTGCCATGGCGGCACGCGCGCCCTTTTCACGCGCCGGGTCGGCTCAAGGCCTGAGAGGTAAACAGCCACGGTGGGGAGAAGTGGCTTCATGACACACGTGCGAACAGCCAACGGCTGGAACGTTGCACCAACCCCATTTCGCATTGCATGTGGGCGGGTCGTTCGACGAAATTGCAACACACCCCAACCTCCAGTATGAAACAAGCGACAACGGACCTGGTCGTCCTTGAAGATGCCCAGGTCCTCCAAGGAAAGAAGCCAAGCCGCCTGTGGAACCGCCGTCTGGGCGGTTGTTGCGCGCTTGGTCTCCAAGCGCGATCACGACAATCTCCTGCCAACCCGACACCGTCTGCAGCTTCTTGAAGAGCAGCTTTGTCGGCGCCTTGTCGCGGGCTCACGAGACAGTGCGGCCACAAAGCAAAGGCCTCATCCTTCTGGTGGGAGCGGCTGGCATCAATGTCCGCACAGGTCTCCGCATAGAAGTCTTGGCTGATCTCGCGGAAACGACCGTCCTTGGCGTTGAATTTTTCAATGATGTCAGCTCCGACGCGTCGGTAGCTTCCGCCCTTTGACTGCGCCCCACCTCTATAGGCTTTGTCAATCTTGCCCCGGACGGAGTTCCAGGTAGGGTTGGAAGCATCACCTGCCATGGCCAAAGATGTAGCCAGTGACTTCACGGCGATCGCCATCGTTGAGAGGGTTTTCCACTGGCTCAGTCCACACCCGGAAGCATGGGTCGCCAAGCACCTTGCGCCTCCCTGCAAGGCCTCACGTAGTTCACGAACTCCACTAGTCCACAGGCGAAGACTCTCCTGCGCCACGGCCCTCTGAGGTCCACGTCTGTTGAACTGTGAGCTGGAAGGCCTTGCGCGCACCATCGAAGGTGAGCACAACAGTGGTTTCACTCTTCTCAAGAGCTTCGCGAAAAGCTTCATCAAGATCTTCTCGAGGGGTCTTCCATGTGAGGACACATCGACATCCCAGAATCCTCTTGCTGTTCTCTGCTTCTTATTCTCTTTGTGGTTCAGACATCGGCGGACAGCTTCCGCCTGGATGAAGGAGGAGACTTTTTTGTTCTTTACACGTGCGAACAGCTTCCGGCATCCATGACCATTGGGATGCCACAAATCCAGCGTCCTTTCCGGCACTCTTGACTTGACCAAAACCACGGTCACGTCGCAACGCCGCAGTAGTCTTTGAGCTTTCTGCCAATTCATTTTGCTTGCGCAGCCAATGCTTCTTTGCTTCAGCCACCTTCTCACTCGCAGAGCCTCGCGAATGGACTCGTGATCGAGTTCAGCGGGTTGCAACCCAGCCAGCTGTTCAGCAGGAGGATGACCGTCACTGGACGAAGGGTCGGTCCAATCATTGGACCAAGCAGCCTGAGCATCATACCATGACGGACCGCGAATGATCACACCGCCAACTCTCATCCGACTGAGCTGCAAACATCTGATCCTGGCACATAGCCAACAAGGTGAAGATTGCCACTGTGACAGTTCAACAAAGGGCGTGTTCCACTCAGCTTCCTCTCCACGGCGAAAGATCTCCTCAAGGCCAAAATCCTGAGTCGATGGATCAACACCTGAAGGCTCTTCTTTGAGCTTCAACAGTGTTTGTTGGAACTCCTCGTAGGTGAGCACCTCACGAACCAAGAAGTAGCTAATCGACTCATCTCGACCACGCAGTACTGCGTCGCGGTTGCAGCAGCATTGCCAATGGCGACACTTTGCAAATCTCTATAGAGGTGCTCGATGACGCCACGGTCTGTATTGAATTCAGCCTGCGACCAACTCATAGCCAGCAACCTTGCACTGCCCGTCAAGCGGGCAATCATCGTCGCAATCTGACGACACTGAGACCTCACGACAGCGTCTTCTCCAGCCTTTTTTGCGCTGCCATCCCCAGTGGATACATCATGTTCTCTATAGATCCCACGGCATCAAAACAACCGACCAATGTCAAAAGCAACGCTCAACGTCCAACGTTGCAACCAATGATTACCTATGCTCAACGACAACTCGCCAGCCCACCAAGCAGCAAAGTGGAAAACAACGTACAAATGCTTCAACTGACAATGTCCAGCCAACACCAATGTAGGTCCAGCAATGCACCAACGGAATCACGCAGCAATGCAATGGGCTCGCGCCAAGGTCCTCCGGAGCAACGCTCCGCTACCAGTCCACTGGCAGGCTCCACAGAAACCAACAAGGATGTAACCCAGCCAGGACGGATATCAATGTCAAAATGTCAACAACTGTTCAACACACAAAGCTGTCACCACAGCTGAACCCTCGAAGCAAGGCCTGAGAGGTAAGGGGGGGGTGGAGAAAAGTGGTGACACACACGTGAACAGCCAAAGGTTGGAATGTTGCAGTACCCCTCAACCCATGGCTATAGCCAGAGACAAGGTGTCTTGCCTGTGAGGTATTTGTTTTCAAGTTCAAGAAAAAACACACAGCGGAATTCAGATTCTAGGAAACGTGGCCCAAGACAAGGCTCAATCCAGGCGTGTGACACAAACCAGTCAGGTCTCTGAATTTGCACTGCCATCACCTCAACCAAACTGCAGCCCTGTCCCCAATAGCCATTTGTGGCTGGCTTGATGATCCAATAATCCCCGGAGTCAGTAGCATTCTTTCAAGCAAAGGCCAGACAGAACCAGATCAGGTCAAGATACATGGGTCTTTCTACAAGAAGGAGCAAAAGAAACATTCTTTCAAAAGGCTGCATTCTCTTGCTTGACTAAGTGTGAGAGGCCTGAAACTTCGAATGACTCGTGATTATTTGTTCTTTGCGAATGACTCGTCTTGCAGGCTCAGCCCATGGAATCTCTGCGGCCTCCAAGAAGACATCGTAACACCTCCGGCAAAGCACAACCATCAAGACACAACAAATGAGGTGTGTCCAAAAGACTTGCTTTTTTTTGGTTCTGATTGTTCCGTATTTTCTTGCTTTCTTCCTGTTTCCTTTCGTCGTCTTTTCCTGGTCTATATGAATTGTACACCTTTCTGTTTGATTTGGACGCAACTCCGCAAAGCAAGCATCACAAGCACAACTGGCACAGCTACAATAATTACAGCTTCCTGTCGAGACAATAGCGTTCGAGACCAGAAGCATTCAAGCACATGAGCTTGATCAAAGGGTTTGTTCCTTTTGCTAAAGGGTCGTGTCGCATTCCCAAAGACAGCCCGTCTCCATTCCCAAAGGCACACCGGCTTTCAAAACCCAATAAAGAGTGACCACATCCTGTGTCGCTTGTCTCACTGCCGAAAAGTGTTGCTAGCGCATCGGCATTGCCGGGTCTCCTTGTTTAACTGGGACCGTTGTTTGCATGTGACCCGATATGTTGTTAGCTAGAAGCTACTAGCAACAAGGGCATCGCTACAGCCTTCCCCCAACTCTACCCCAGCTCCCCAGCTTTCAATCCCGCCAGTGACGAATTGCATCTAGTAGCGATGCCTTTGTTACTAGTAGCTTCTTGTTCCTAGTAGTAATGCCGGGAGCTACTAGTGGCTTCTGGTTCCTAGTAGTAATGCCAGGAGCTGGTTTCCTTGGGATTTGGAGGCGCACCTGAAGAGGGTCGCAGGTGCTTTTCTGTCCGTCGGATCAGAGGAAAAAAGAGCGGGATTCGCGATGAACATGCAGAACTTTTTTGCGTTTAGACTTTTTCGTTATTGTTTGTTTTTCCATGTTTTTTCCATTTGTTATACTTCTCTTTAGACCTTCTCGTGAAGTAATGAATTTGGAGTGGATATCGACACACAGCAGAACTCTCCAGCCTGACCACATTCTCGTGCCGGAGAAAGCGCATGATGGCAATCTGCGAAAAGACACGTGTTTGGTCATACCGAGCCACACCTTTTTCACGCGTTGTGTTAGTTGGCATTGATTTGCGTTTTTGCAAGTGGCAAGGTGTTTGGACTCTAACGCCTGAGACAAAGGGTTAGTGCAAAGGACCCAAGAGCTCCTTTGCATATAGGAGCCCCTACTAGCTTCTTGGTCCTACTAGCGAGGCCCTTTGCTCCTAGTAGCGAACATTGCTCCTAGTAGTAAGGCCAGGAGCCCCTAGTAGCTTCTTGATTGTTTCGCGCCAGGCTTTTGGGGGTTCTGCAGATTCCCATCTTTCGTCGCCATTTTCCTTTTTTACCGAAAGCCGTCTAGGATGGAGAGTGGCGCTTGAGGCCAACTCCCACACCCGCATGAGGCTGCTGTGGTCGATCCAAAAGATCAGACCTTCATAGTGCTCTTTTCAGCTTCAAACCTGGAGCAAAGGGCATCGCTACTAGGAGCAAAGGACGCTACTAGGGGCTCCTGGCCTGAACTTCCAATGTGTTTTCCGCCCAAGTGCTTGCCCGCTGGAACCTTGGCCCGTTCGACTTGAAGCAACTTCTCCTCACGAGCAGTTTATGTATATGTAGGCCAAGCTAGCTAACCACGTTCTTTCACATCAAGGACATTTGCCCGAGAACAGTTTAGGATACACATGGCCCTTTGCAACAAATGCAGTTGCATTGGAGGTCATCGCTACGACCAGGTGGAGGCCCTCCCTATTGACCTCCTCGTTTTCAAGTGGTGGACCATCGCTGGCGACCAGGACACATGGCTTCTCGCCGCATGGCGGCCTCTGCTGCTTCCTCCTTGGACAGGTCCACTTTCACCTTCGGTCCGAAACGATGTCCGAAACGATCCGTGAAGCAAGTCGAGTCGTGGCGATGCCAAGGACGATGTCCGAAGCGTCTTCTTCGGCAAAGGAGAGAACAAGCGAAAAAAGGGAAGAGTCTCCCACTGTTAGTAAAGAAATATAAAGAATGCATTCTGGCAGGAATGGACAATGTGTTCAATCAGAAAAGCTGTAAGAGGTTCTTTGGAATATGACGATGAACCGCTGACGAAAGGCAAACACAACTGGAGGCCCTTTTTTAAACTCTGTCTTCTTGGAAAAGTTGATTTCAAAGTATTGGAAAGTCCATACAGTTCCGCTCATCATTCCCCAAACCTTTGAGAACCATGCTTTGAACACTTCAGGAAGTGACTCATGGGTTGCAAGTACTAGCCTTCTTGGCGACTTGCAAAAAGCAAGCCATTCCAAGCCGCCAAAAATTACACCACCGTAGACCCCAAACAGTTTGTGTTTTTCAAAATCGAAACTAGAGCTTGCGACGTCCAGAGCTGGGAGATAAATGTAAAGGATTGCAAGGCAGAGACGGACACAGCAATACAGAGCGGGGGGACACATCTTAAGAAAGAAGTGAGAAGCCCTAACAGTAAACCTTTTGGGGAATTATTCTTCAAGCGCGAACATGATGCTGGTCATGCTGCTCAGTCAGCGGGGAGCTGACCAGGTGAGGACAAGAAACAAAAGCATGAGGAGCGAAGGATGTGACATGAAATTGATTTTTGGTGCCTGACATATGCCCTCCGCCCCAACTGAATAGAGAGATCGCTGCCACACCGCCGAAATCCAATCCGGTCATTCATCCAACGGTTGCCCGAGAAGGAAAACAAAGCTGAGAGAGTTACACAGTGCGGCAGGAATGCAATCCCGGAGACAGTCACGCACCCCTTGCAAAGGAGCAAGAACCTTTCACAGGCGAACCTGTTCCAGCGGACAGGGCAGAAAACAGCAGTGCAGGCACCAAACCTGAAAGACAAAAAGAAAGAAATCACATGGGAGACAAATGAATAGAAATGCTACATGGCCAGCGGAAAAGGGCGGCAGCGCCAGTGACAGACCCGGGAAACAAATTAATAGAAATGCTGCATGCCCAGCGGAAAAGGGCGGATACCAACAGTGACAGACCTGGGAGACTAACGAATAGAAATGCTGCATGGCCGACGAAAAGGGCGGACACCAGCAGTGACAGACCTGGGAGACAAAACACTGGCAGTGACAGACCTGGGAGACAAATGAATAGAAATGCTACATGGCCAACGGAAAAGGGCGGACACCAACAGTGACAGACCTGGGAGACAAATGAATAGAAACAGCGGAAAAGGGCGGGACACCACCAGTGACAAGCCTGGGGGACAAATGAATAGAAGTGCTGCATGGCCAGCGGAAAAGGGCGGAAATTAGCAGTGACAAAGACAAATGAATAGAAATGCTACATGGCACCAGCAGTGACGGACCCGGGAGACAAATGAAGCATTTCTGGGAGATAAATGAAAAGAACCGGGAGACAAATGAAAGCAAGTGTAGGGCGGGAACCCGACCACAAGCACCCAGCCTGGGAGACAAATGAAAAGAAGTTGGTGACAAATGAAAAGAAGTGGGAGACAAATAAGAGGAAGTGGGAGACAAGCCGGCCGGGAACCCGACCACAAGCAGAAAAGAAGTGGGAGACAAATGAAAGGAAGTGGGAGACAAGCTGGCCGGAAACCCGACCACAAGCACCCAGCCTGGGAGACAAATGAAAAGAAGTGGGAGACAAATGAAAGGAAGTGGCCTGGGAGACAAATGAAAAGAATTGGGAGGCAAATGAAAGGAAGTGGGAGACAAGCCAGCCGGGAACCCCGACTGAAAAGAACTGGGAGACAAAGGAAGTGGGAGACAAGCCGGCTGGGAACCCGACCAGACCATCCAGCACCAAGGCGACCATTCTTTAAAGCATTGAGAACCCCTAACAGTAAACTGTTTGGGGAATGAAAAGAAGTGGGAGACAAATGAAAAGAACTGGGAGACAAATGAAAGAAGTGGGAGACAAATGAAAGCACGTGGGAGACAAGCCAGCCGCAAACCCGACCACAAGCACCCAGGGAGACAAATGACAAGAAGTGGGAGACATATGAAAGGAAGTGGGAGACAAGCCAGCCGGAAACCCGACCACAAGCACCCAGCCTGGGAGACAAATGATAAGAAGTGGGAGACAAATGAAAAGAAGTGGGAGACAAATGAAAAGAAGTGGGAGACAAATGAAAGGAAGTGGGAGACAAGCCAGCCGCGAACCCGACCACAAGCACCGAGCTTGGGAGACAAATGAAAAGAACTGGGAGACAAATATAAGGAAGTGGGAGACAAGCCGGCCGGGAACCCGACCAGACCATCCAGCACCAAGGTGACCATTCTTTAAAGCATTGAGAACCCCTGACAGTAAACTGTTTGGGGAAAAAGGAACGGCTGGTAGTGAACTGCAGACGTCTTTCATTGCTTGGGTCGTCTTTCAATAACTCCAAGGGCTCCTCCCCAAAGGGCTGAGATGAACATCCAGTGACCCCAAAAGCGTCTTGTTACTACTAGTAAGGCACTTGTTACTACTAGTAAGGCACTTGTTACTACTAGCGTGGCACTTGTTACTACTAGCGTGGCACTTGTTACTACTAGCTTCTTGTTACTACTAAAATGCAGAAGAAGTCACATGAGGAATTGTCACGTCATCCGCAAGACCACACGTGTTCTTGTCCTGAGGACAAGGACGTGAGCAAAAAAGAAGACAGAAAGTATCTCCGATGTGTCCAAAATTCTCTCCAAGGATGTTCATAAAGTTTCATGCTAGCTTCATGCATTCATTTCATGCTAGCTTCTTGCTTCTAGTAAGGGTGCCTTGCTGCTACTAGCGACGACTATGCCTTTTTATACTAGTGCTTCGACGCGGATCCATCTCAAGGTAGATGTAGCCAGCCATTCCCCACGTCGAAGCCCAGCTGTTCCGCACGATCCAATAGGGCTTCGGTGCGGTACTGTTGTAGCCCACCGCCATGACGCAATGATCCTGTGCTGGAGCGCTGGAGCGGCGCTGCAGAGCGAGGCGGAGCGGCTTTCGAAAAGGAGTCACCGACTGTATATGGCCTCATACCCCCTATAGTGGAGGTATTGGAGTACAAGAATTAACATAAAAATGCCGACATGAGAATGATGCGCGGCATATGAAATGACACCATTCAGTCCTGATACTCAGCACCCATGGGCCCACAGGCTGCTGACGTGAGCACGCCGCCAGTGTAGTCATTCCACACTCCAGCGTTGACCTCAAAAGGCTCAGAAGTGTTCAGTGCTTTCGAAGAGTTCAGGTTTCAAAGTGTCTTTAGTACCCCAAAAGAGGCTAAGAAGAGGAAATAGAAAAAAGCCTAAGAAGAGGCATGTTGATAGTCGAAAATACCTTTTAAAGAGTCACTCAAGGATTGTCCTGCATTCACTAACATGAGGCGGAAAACTGAAAGCAAAGGTGCAATGCGTTTGCTCAGCAAATGCCGAAAGCAGGCAGTTCTGCTTTTGCCTTGACACTCTTTTGAAAACTTTACACCTCAACCAAAATGCTGAGTCCATATTTACCACCATTGATACTATCAAACCAAGGTGCACAAACAGAGACTGGTGCTTCTTCCAATGCCGAGGCCAAACCTTTCAAGTCCTCGAAAGGAGAAACGAAATTTTGAGAAATGTGGAAATACAATCTTCAAAAGAAAGAAAGAAAGACAGAAAGAAAGAAAGAAAGACAGAAAGAAAGAAAACTAATAGCGTGGCCTCCAACCTACTAGCGATGGCCTCCAACCTAGAAGAGAGAGAAGAAAAAGGAAAGAAAGAGGTCCAAAAAGAGTCTAAAGTCTAAAGAAAAAACAGATGCGGACGCGTTCCTGATTCTCGCAGCTGCCTTCTGTGCAGGGTGGGATAGCATAGCTGTAGCCTGAAAACTTGATGGGTCAGACGCAAGATGCGTTGTTCAGCTACGGCTCAAATAGCAAGCTTTTACGTGACCAGGAGTCTGTTCTTGAAAATGGATTGGGATTACATGTTTTTTACAGTTTCTTCATATTTGCTCTGTCTTCCTTCTTTACAAATTTGCCCAATATAGAGTTTGCGTTCAAACACGGTTTAATCGAACCTGATGTCCTGTCATCTCATCCAAACAACCAGCCAACGGCCGTTGGACACGCCTGTGACTTGCGCGTATCCACCCGAAAGTTCCATGTAGGGTCCAGACATTGCATCCACCTGCCAGGGATTGCTACGCTGCTACAACACGTGTTGTCAACACCTGTCAAAGTTCAACTTGCTAAGATCACTTCCACTCCTGCCTTCGATTTGGGACAAGACGCGGTTTCAGTGCTTTCAGTGAGGCTTTGTTCATACGGGATGTAAAAACCTGCGAGACATGCAAAACCAGGACTGGCCTCCGATCTTCCAACAGCATACAAAAACCCAGGAACAAAAGCGGAGCGAAAATACCAAACAGATCCAAACAGAAAACACGTGGACTGTTCACTATGTTCCTCTGCCAGAGAACTGTTGGCCAATCCGGGAGCTGTCTTCAAATAGTCATAAGCACCTTCGGTAAAGCCACCATTGCAGCCTGCCATGGTAACATCGAAAAATCAACCTGCATCACTACACACCTCCAAGTTATTTTCCCTTTAAAAATGTTCTTGATGTTTGCTGTCTGCATTGAAATTATCCCGGCCCAAACAGTGTGTGTGAAGTCTAGAGGTGTAGCAGCAAAAAGTCTAGAGTGTAGAGATCTAGACGCATTGGGGTCCAAAGAGGTGAGTGAGAGAATGAGAGTGAGAGTGCGTGGGTGAGTGAGAGTGAGAATGAGAAAGAGAGAGTGTGAGGGTGAGTGTTCGCGAGAATGAGAGTGAGTGCGAGTGTGAGTGAGGGTGAGCGTGAGCATCTGAGAGCACAAAGTGCTGCTGCGCCACGAAGTCTGCACTCCGGCCACGAAATCTGCACTTCAATCCACAAAGCACTGCACCTGCCATGGTTTCTGAAAACCTGCCACATGTAAAAAAGTCACGGTTCACTGCACCGGTCACGAAATCAGAGCGCCTCGAAGATCACCACCATGTCCAAAGCACTGCGCCTGCCACGAAATCTGCAGCTCGAAGAAACACCGCTCCAACCCGCCCCTTGCATCACAAAAAGTCAACTTTGGACCACCAAAACACGCGCGCCTGCCACGAAAAGTGACCATCATGTCCGAAAATGAGCGCGGGCGCCACAACGACGACAAGCACCCGCCGCGCATACCCAGGTTCTACGAGCCTGCACAGTCGAAATGCACTTCGAGGATTTCGAGAGGCATGAATGTACTGCAAATAGCAGCGAATTAGCCGGGCAGGGATGCGCGACACCTCGATTAGACACCGGTCTTTAACCTCTACCGTAAGAACCCCATTCGCGTGTCCACACTGTTTGTGGAAAACTCTTTGGGTCCAAATTGTTTCAACAATGTGATTTCTTGAACCTGCCATGTATGAGCACCGTTCTTGCTGCTTCGGACCTTGACATCCATAAGTGCCAGTGCTTGGCGCGCAGCTTGTGATTTGCTGGGGGGACAATTCGATATCGTACCTGCACAGGAGTGAAACTCCTGCTCAACACTGCGGAAAGCATACACTTTGATGGCCAGCCTCCCACCAGAGGCCATGATGAGCTGTGATTCAATAGCTTCGGTCGCTGAAAAAGCCCAGCAACTGCCACATTGGCCTACGAACGAAGCCCGAACAAAAAGGAAGGAAGGGGCCCAACTCGACCGAACTTGTCAATCCAAACATACTGGGGCGTGACACTGTGAAGCCACGCGCTTGCGTTGCGGCGCAACGTGCTGACAGGCACACCTTTCAAGGAAGCACATGTTCAACCCGGGCATTGCGTGTGGAGCTGTCTGCTGCTCAACTGTGTCGTAGCTCTTGGTCACGAGATAGGTGCGTGTGGTCACCATGCATGAAAGTACTTGTCCGTTGTATTCACGGTTTAGTGAATTCTGTGAATTCTCATCAACCCTGGGCCAGCCGAGTCGCGCTTGGAGTTGGTCGCTAGGGATTTGGATCGGGGGCGGGTTGCCCGGGTGCCAACAAGCGTGCGTCCAAGTGCCCACTTCGGGGCAGTCGTAACAGTGCTTAGCAATGTCAGTGGGTGGACTTTTCACGATGGCGTGGTGTGCTTTGGGTTGCGCTGCTTTGCGCGCTGCGCGCACGCGCTTTTCACAAGGCGGCGGCTGCGCTTCAGCCACTAGTGGCAACGCCAGGAGCTACTAGTAGCTTCTTGCTACTAGTAGCGAGGCACCTTGTTACTAGTAGCTTCTTGTTACTACTAGTAAGGCACTTGTTACTAGTAGCGATGCACCTTGTTACTAGTAGCGAACCTTGTTCCTAGTACTAGTGGTGGTGGAGCTATTGTAAGTGGTTGCAACGGTAGTGACGACCATCGCCAAGAGGTAGAACAAGTGCTTCATTCCGTACTCCGTCGAAGCCCGGCTGGCCCACGAGGAGGGTGAAGTTCTCTTTCAAGCCAACTGCCACATTGACCTATGAAGGAAACCCGAACAATAAAATGGAAGATGACCATGGCTTTGGCTGGTGGTTGGTCTGTCGCAGCTCGTGTGATACCGCTGCTTGATCCATGTTTGGATGTGGTCATTCTGCTTGTGTTCACGGCATAGGCAAAAGTGCAAATTGGCTGCAAACGTAGGCTCCCAGATGCGAGTGTGCCTGTATGTCATGCTGGCTGAACACGTGCTTCCCTAGAAGGTGGTGCTTCTTCTTGCGGGCTGCCAATGTAGTGCCAGCGCCTGGTGCTTCCTTGCCGTTCAGCAGGAGACAGAAGTTCCCTCAATAACACACCACCTGCCACATTGCCCTGAAAGCAGAATTGCAAAAAGGGGGGCATGGTCCAATTTGACCCAACCAGCAAGCTTACCAGGTGTAGACTCTAGACATAGGGCACGTCTGCGGATTCCTCTTTGTGGTGAAGCACGGATGTGAACCTACATCAACGTTTGGTGTGGTTGTGTCCGTTCTGTCTCGCGACATGGGGCAACTTACTAGACTTTTGTAGGCCATAACTAACAGCACCGCTTCACTTCGCCGAAAAGCCCAAGACCCTCCGCGCCAATTCCAGAAATTGCTGGAAATTCAGCTCTTGTACAAGATCCAAACTCAAGGAGAATCCTCAAGTCCTGGAGGCCATCGCTATTAGCTTGGAGGCCATCGCTCGTTTCCATTTCCCTCCAAGGCACCCTGGTTCTTGATCGGTGTCACTGCTTCTGTCAGACGCCAGTCCACGGCCGCCGCGCGCGAACGGCCACGCATCACGGTGGAGTTCTTGACCGGCGCGGTGGGGACGAAGTTCTTGGGCTTCTTCAGACCCCTGAAGAGCGGGTGAAGAGACGGGTGAAGAGACGGTGAAGAGAGGAGAAGAGGCAAAAGACAAGGGGGAAAAGAAAAGATAGGGCCTGGCGGTCTGGTCTCGAGTATTGACCAAAGGACTTGAAGAACGAACAGAAAAACAAGTCCATGCAGGCCAAGAGCAGGAAAAGATGACCCCAATTCACGAGAGTGCAGGCTCTTCTGCCAGTTTCTGAATGCAAATGAATGCAAATTCAGGTGTTATTCGCTTCTCAAGTTTGAAGTGCTGGGAGTGCTCCACTTCGCTGTGCTGGTTTACTGTTGTTCTAGAGCTGTGCGGGGTTCCCCCGAGGCACTTCTGCAGAAGTGAAGCCTCTGCAGTAGTAAGGCCAGGAGCCCCTAGTAGTGTCCTTGCTCCGTTCGTAGCGATGCCCTTTGCTCCGAACGTAGCATAAGGAACCAAAAACCGAGCGATGGCCTCCCTAAAAGCGATTCTGTGTTTACCGTTTTGCACAAAAAACTGCTCAGGCAATTTAATCAAAGATCCTATGAAGCTGGGACAAAGCGACTTCCTTATCGTCCTCGGTTTTTTCTGTCTAGGAAATGAACGAGTAGACATGTCAAACTCGTTTGATTGAAATCCGTGGTCCAAACAGATAAAAGTGAAAGAAAGAACAATCGGTTTCAGAGCTCGAAATGTTTACTGCATGGTATCCAGATAGTTTCGTTGTTGCATGGGAAGTAAAAAAACATGCAATTGCTTGGTTGATGGAAACCAATGTTAGTTGTTGAGGGATTGGTTTTCGTAGTTTTCGAAAGGCGCGGTTCACTCGGAGACAATCGGTCGACAGGACATCCAGGGCACCACGCTGCAATGCAAGAGTTTATTCTGTTTCGCAAATTTGGTCTTAGGTCAAAGGTTAAAAAACGATACGGAAATATAGTCAAACCTGACATAACTCAAAACGATTAATATATAGATTCCTTAGATAGTTACGAGTTTCAAAGAAATAAGTTAATAAAATGGATCAGTCTATTGGGTGGCCAAATTGCTGTACCCAAGGTGCGTCTGAAACGGTAAAAATCGAACAAGGGTCGGTTCGTTTGACCTCTTTCCCCGACCACAGGCGCCGTAATGACGGTAAAAATAAATAAGAGTGTTTGCTTTACCGTTTTCTCTACGTTGGCGAGAGCGGGGTACGCAACAACGACCGGCTTAGCGGATCTGCTCCTCTGGTACTTCTCCTCATCATAGCGATCAGCCAGCCAAGTAATGCCAAAAACGGGTTCCCCGTTCAGCTTATTCAAAATGTCCACACGCGCTTTGGTTTCAATGAACCTGAAATGTCTGATCCGTCTCATGTCTGCATCGCTCCGTGTTCAGTTCTGCCGTTCTACAGAGAATGCATATCTGATCGATTTGTGATGTGCTTATGTGCATTATGTATATGCAAAAGTTGAAGCATAAAGTACCTGATTCACTGATCCAAATTGCGTGCAAAGGAACAAACGGTATCGCGCTGCTTCCTCGGCCGGACTTGCATAGCTCCTCAGTTGTGAATTTCCTTTCACACAAAAACCCTGAACAACGCTACTGCTCACCGCTTGCCGTAACTACTTGAATGCTTGAACACTTCAGTCTGGAGCGCAACTACACCACAGGCGAAAACGCTTGAGCAAAAACGAAGCTGCTTGCAGGTGTTCAAATCTATCGCAATGGCCTCTAACCTGCTTGCAGGCGTTCAAATCTAGAACGGCTTAATTTAAAGCTGAGAATCTTCTGATACTTGTGCTTGAAAGCTTGCCATTCAGGATCGGGGATAGCAATCGCAGCAGCCGCCAGCGGAAGAAACATCAACACCTTCATGGCACAGGAGCTGATGAAGGGCGGCAGGAATAGTCTTGAGCCAAAATTGCTTCACAAATGCCAAGAGCCTACTAGGAGCAAGGACGCTACTAGGGGCTCCTGGCCGTACTACTAGGAACAAGAACTACTAGTAGCCATACCTCCAAGTAGTAGAATGAAGGAATTCAACAAAGTTGCTTTGATGAGCTAACAACTTCTTAGCGGCTCAGGAAATCAAGAACATAGGACCTTTTTCGCGCATTCAAGACTCAGTGGTCGTCTCATCCGCCTGTCAGACAAGACTCAAGAACAAAGGCATGGATACTAGTAGCTTCTTGTTACTCGTAGCAATGGCCTCCACCTACTAGCGTCGCCACATAGCTACCCCCAGATCGAAGAGAAGCGGGCCTGGGCAGCTTGCGTGCACCTGGGCAGCTTGTTCGTGCCTTTACCCTAAGGCCAAGACGTCCGACGTCCGACGTCCCTCTACGGAAGCCCCGTTCGTAGCGTCATCGCTCCGTTCGAAGCGATTACCAGGAGCCCCGTTCGTAGCGAACATTGTTACTTGTAGCGATGCCCTTTGTTCCTAGTAGCGTCCTTGCTCCTACTAGTAAGGCCAGGAGCCCCTAGTAGCGTCCTTGTTACTAGTAGTAAGGCACTTGTTACTAGTAGCGATGCACTTGTTCCTAGTAGCGAACATTGTTCCTTGTGGATAGAGTACCTTCCTGTCGATCACATTCCTGGACATGTCACATCTATGACCAGATCCAATGCGGGAAGAATGGCCAGAAATGAAAGGATGGAGGCCATCGCTATTAGAAACAAAGAAGCTACTAGTAACAAAGGGCATCGCTACTAGGAGCAAGGGCGCTACTAGTAGCTCCTGGCCTTACTACTAGTAACAAGAATGCTACTAGGTTGGAGGCCATCGCTAGACAGTTGAAGGCCGTTGAAGACGGTTGAAGAATGGTCAGACATCGCTATGCGTTCCTTCATACCGTTTTGGACGTCCGTGGGCCTTCGTAGCTCCATGTCCCAAACATAGTCCCCATTGCAGCCTCGAGACATCGGACCGAATCGAAATCGGAATGGCCAGAAAGAAAGGTCGAAAGGTCGAGTGGTCCGGTCCAAAAAGACGGTCCGAAAGGGAGAAGACTTCATAGAAAGAATTGCAAAAACATAGCTAAAAATAGGAGGAACAAGAGTTGACAAAGAAAACGGATCCCCATTTTTGTGGGTTTGAATGGCGACTCGTCTCTTCTCGAACGAGTAGAAAAACGCGAAAGCATGAGCCAGCGTTCCACACATCTTCTCCCCTTCCCCTTGTGGAACACCCGTGAATGAAATGAATGGAATACAGGAATACGTGTCCGTTCTTGACAGAACCGTCAGAATCCATACTTGCTTTGAGGGGTAGTCAGGGTGAAGAAAGATGTTAAAGTTCGAGGCCAAGAGTTGCCAGGCCAGGGCCTGCACCATCCGACATCTGTTTTCCATTCAGGCAACAGCAAGATTGCCCACAACGATGGCTGTTGGAGGCATCGCAATTCTTCTCCTCGACTTCAGCGTCGCGCGGAAGGTTTATGGAGCGTCTTCGACCGTCTTCAACCTAGTCTAGTGGCGTCCGATCGCTCCGTTCGTAGCGATGGCCAGGAGACCCGAACGTAGCATCCGATCGCTCCGTTCGTCGCAGAGAAGAAACTGTGTTCCATTTCGTTCGTTCTTTTTGTTCGGAACTTCATGGAGCTCATGGATTCATCTTCATCTGACCCTTCCAGTCCTGCCGCCGGGCCGTCCAAAGATGAGATGCTGGGATGTGAAACTTGGCCACCAATGGGTCTTTGTCGTTGCCTTGGAAGAACAAGACATGGAGAATCTAATAGCGTCGTTGCTCCTAGTAGCGATGCCCTTTGTTCCTAGTAGCTTCTTGCTCCTAGTAGTAAGGCCAGGAGCCCCTAGTGGCGTCCGATCGCTCCTAATAGCCAATGAAAGGGATATGATAAATCTGTTACTTGACGATGCCAACCTGAGAAGGGAGGAAACGAAAGCCAGGGCAGGTAAGCGCCCTCTCCGTCTGTCAATCTTGCCATCTCTCTAAAACTCTCTCTCCTTTTATCCAGCCACCTATCCACCCACCCATTCGTCCAACTATGAACACTCTACACACCTCTATCCACATCTAGAATCTACTTATCATCTTTTTACATCTAGCCACATCTACTCCACAATCTCTCCATGCTTCTATGTCTTTATCTCTCTATCTCTTCAGCTTGTCTCTCTGTCTCGTTATCTCTCTAATACTCTCTTCTGCCCTTCATCCATCAATCCATCCAGCGAGCCATCCACTGACCTACCTACAAGCGTACGATCAAAATGCAAATGATGCAAGGTGCCAACATGTGCATCATCCACATCACAAAAGCACACACCTGTGCCTCTGCCCCCTTGGCCCATCCAATGCAGATCCGGCACAGCTGCTGCAAGCATCTCGTTCGAGATTGTATTCACAGCCAAACATACAGCAGCAGTGATTGGAGCCGCAGACATATGCATTCTTGGCCTCTTCGAGCTGACGGGTGTTTCTCTCGTGGAATCGGTGAATATATTCACTGAATGTGGGTGTTTATTTACACCAGCTTCCTCTTTACTCCTAATACTCTGGGCGAAGAAAGTTTGCTGAACCCATAGCGAAGTGCCAAACCGTAAGCTGCGGAAATTGGTCCGTTCGAAGCAGAATGTGCGTTTCTTGATGCGTCGGGCAGTGCCGTTGGGATTCTGCGAGTGTGCAAAGCGGTGCAAGTTGTGGAAGATGTTCGAAAAAAGGCCTCTTGGTTTCCCGGGTTCCACTATATTACTGGCTACAACTTCTCCAAGGGGCTGACATTGAATCCGAAAATGTAACAAAGGGAAAATGATGCGACCCTTCTGCAAAGTCACTCAAAAGTTTTGACTCAGTGCTTCCTCCCACCTCACAAGAGAGCCAAGTTTGTGACCCAGCAATCCTTGGAACACAAGGAGTACAAATATGTCGTATGATCGTATGAAAAGAGAGCACGTCGCTAGTGGGTTGGAGGCCAATGCCCTTAGGTTGGAGGCCATCACTTATGAGAAGAGAGTAAGAGAGCAAGAGCACATCAACAAAAGACTCGAGCACAAGACACTTGCACAGCGTGAGCTTTGGTCACCCCTGCTCTCTCTCTCTCTCTCTCTCTATCTCCTTCTCTCTTTGAACTTATGTTGCTCACTCTCTAAGGTCACCCCAGTTTTCTTCTTGTTTCTTCTTCCTATATAACTCTGCTCTGTTTCTCGTGTTTAATAGACTGCTCGTTTTCTTGCTTTGCCCCCTCTGACTTTGCTCAGCTCTCTCCCTCTCTTTTTCTTGTTCTCTCTCTCTCTCCCTCCCTCCCTCCCTCCCTCCCTCCCTCCCTCTATCTCTTTATCTCTTGTGTCTTGCTTTTCTGCACTCTCCTCCTTTCTGTGTAGCTGTTCTTCTAGCTATATAAAACTAACAGCTTTGTTCTCGCTTTGCTTTCTCCCTCTCTCTCTGTCACTCTATGTCTCTGGCTTGCTCTGAGGAAGCAAGCTTCTCTTGCCTTTGTTGCATGTGGTTGAAGAACAAAAGAAAGTCAAAAGAAAGAAAGAAAGAAAGAAAGAGAGAAACGAATAAGAATAAAAGAAACAAAAACATAGAGTACACATACAAATAAAAATCATGAACATGTGAAGAAATAGAAACAAAACAAGGACAAATAAATGAATGCAACTGGCTGCCAAAGGCTCGGTGCGGGCTTGGGAGGAGTGAGGACCCCAATCCTTCTTGGCCTTGAACAAACTGTATCAGACTCTCCACGTACGTTTGTAGAGAAGAAAAAATGAGAGAAAAAAAAAACTAATGGCGATGGCCTCCAACCTACTAGCAATGGCCTCCAACCTAAAAGCGATGGCCTCCAACATACGTTTTTAGACAAGAACTTGTCTGAAAGAAAGCTCTTCTTCTGTAAAGAAACGTCTTAAACAGTAGACTCAATCTCGACATGCCAGGCCAAGTCACGCTTTGACAACTCCTGCCCGCACACAATGCCTCAATTCGCCAGTGCTTTTGCAACACCCGCGTTGGTAGGACGTCGTTGGAAGGACACCAGTGGCTTAGTCAAGGCCAAGAGACCCGAGACCGAAAAGGAAAACAGGAAGGACAAAAGAGCGAAGAAAGAAATGGTTTTAAGGAAGAAAGGAAAACCAAATAGCGAAATAGCGATGGCCTCCAAAGGAAGAAAGGATTTGAAGAAAAAAACTGAAAACAACGCCGTTGTAACATGCTGCATGTTTGTAGGGAACACGTTCTAAGGCGGCAAAAGCACGTAATTCATCAGTTCTGGTAAATACTCTAGAACTGCTACCTTCCTTCAGTAGTAGTAGCGTTCTTGCTACTTGCGGCATTTGGGATTGATCTAAGACGTAGTCGAACGAGCTGGAATGATCTAACACAGTTTCTCACTTCGAGTCTTCGCTCAGGGCTCAACCTCTGCTCTAAATCCCATCTGTACTGGCCGTGACAACCTGAGCTGCGGAGCGACCGAGAACGACGAAAGTCTGACCAGCAAAAAATCGACGAAAGAATCTGCAGCGCCGCAGCGCTTTTGAAAAAGCGCTATCACTTTTGTCCAGAGGCTAACCACTTCTTTCTTGTCATATTTTTCACATGCCAACCTCCAACATCCTGTTCTTGGACACCTTGTTCCGTGTACGTTTCTTCAAGCCGAAGCCGAGGTGGAAACAGCAGGACTTGCCACAGACGTGACTATGCTCTGGGGTGCAGGAACCCTCCTGAACAGTGGATGAGCAAGCAGCTTCACTGAAAACATGTGTCTTTCTTCCAGTTTCAAATCTCATGGCTACGGCAACTCTTGTGGACATTAAAGTGCAGACTTCGTGGCAAGGTGACGGGGGCAAGGCATCGGTAGCAGCTTCCTAGCTTAGTAGCTTATCTATTTGACCTACTAGCTATATGTTTGTTCCTCCACCACCTCCCGGCCTATGAGAAAAACACGCCATCTTCACGTTTGCTCCATGTCGTCCTCTATTCTCTCAGTCCACAAATGCGACGATGGGATATGGAAGCTTTGCACCTCGGGAGTGTCGTCACCTCGGCGACCGCAAGGTTCCAATTTGCGTTGTCGAAAAGAGCGAGCCATTCCTGTTTTTCTTTTCCTCCTTTTTTTTGTAGATCTGTAGATGTGTCCTTTTTCCTATGTTTCTTTCCTTCACTCATTAAATTCATTGTGCATGTCTTCCCTGTTCTTGTTATCTTTTTTTTCCCGTTCCTTCTAGACCATTTTTTGGCAGGACCAGCACACTGGAACGACAAAGAAACGTTCACTTCATGTGTGTTTTGCTGTTTCTTCTAGACCGTTTTAGACCTTTTTAGACCAGTTCTTCTTGGTTTTTCCTTTGAAACCAATTTCTCCAGGTGGTTCGTCACGCTGTGCGAGGCACGGCAAGCCGTGCAGCTGTCCTGCTCCGCATTGAAAAGGCAGCCAAATCGACAGCAACAGTGACGTCCGTCACTGCAGCTGTAGGCATTCCTGGAGACGATCTTAAGAAGAAAGGTCCAAAGGATTCTAAAGGATTATCAGATTCTAAAGAAATATAGAAAGAAAGAAGGAAAGACTGAATTTAAGTAGCTAGGTGGAGGCCATCGCTATTAGGTTGGAGGCCATCGCTACTAGTAGCTTAACAAGATGTTGCTGGGAGCAGTTGTTGGACTACCCGCAGCCAAGTGACTTTATTTGACGCACGGACCGAAGACCACGCCAACGTTCGACAAATACCAACGGTACTACCGTTGCCAACGTTCACCAACGGTTCGACCCCTTCAGTCCTACTCTCGCAAGTCAGGCCGGCTTCGATCCAGGTCTGTGAGCCTTCGAAATCAGTAGCGTCCGATCGTTCCGTTCGTAGCGATGCCCGAAATGCCCCTAGTAGCATCCTTGCTCCTAGTAGCGATGCCCAAATGAAAAGGATTCAAAAATAATAGCTACAAGCCCAATAGCATTCAATAGCAATGGCCTCCAACCTATTAGCGATGGCCTCCAGGAATTGAAGTGAACACATGGGTTTCTTTTTCAGTCAATCAAACAAGGACAGAAATGTGTTCTCGTCTTTAAGTGGTTTAGTAACAGATGTAACAGGACACTTAAGGACCCGTGAAACATATTTACCTTCTCTGCCTGGGACAAGATCTTCTTGCGGCACCTGACCAAAATCAAATCTGTCAGAGATGCTAGCGATGGCCTCCAACCTAGTTTCCACAAAAGTGAGGGAGGGCTCATCAAGAAAGCTTTTCCCACCCTCACTCTGCTGCATCGTTTCTACTGGTAGCTTTCTCCTATCTGGCTACTGCCTGCATCTCACTACAACCTGCCTCCTCCAAACAGGAAAAGCTCAACAACCTGCATCTATGCGAATTCCGCGCCTGGCGTTGAGGAAGACTCTTCGGAAGCTCTGCAAGGTCTTTTGTCTCTTCACCTCGGCGTCATGCAGTGCGTCTCCAGAGACGTTTTGAAAACGACGCCGCACCACCAGCCGTCACAGTGTGCGAAATCTGAGAGATTCAAACGGAGTGACAAAACCAAGTGGAGCTGTTTTCGGAGAAAGAGAAGGTCTGTGCGTTGAGAGGATGCGGTTCTGTCTCGAGTCGCTCAGCTCTTCACAGCGTCTAGACTCCAATCCCCACTGATAGCCAGCATTGCAGCAGCAAGCAGATCCGCACTTATGGCCTCAGCTTCAGATCCGGGCACATCGCGGCGCATCGCGGCGCATCGCGGCGCATCTGCATCTTTCCAACGGTGATCTCAAAAGGGGATTCGTCGGCATCGCTTTACGAAGGTGACCGAGGTCCAGGCTGTTCTTGATATTGCAAGTCCTAAGTCGAGACAAAAGAACAAAACACCAGTTACATCATGACACGGCACGATACATGACATGTTGTTCTTGCTAGTGAATTACATTTAACACCAGCCTGAAGCCATCTTTAATCTGTTTTGTTTCTTTCAAGAAGGGACTCCTTTTCCTTTCTTCCGATCTTCCCGGATTCTTCCTTTCTCTTCTTTGCTCTACTGAGTACTAGTCTGTATGGTAGAAACCAGCAATTTCGGTACTTGAGCTCCTGGTATCACTACTAGGAACAAGAAGCTACCAGTAGCAAGGGCATCGCTACTAGTAACAAAGGGCATTACTACTAAGGCCTACCAGCGCTGCCAAGAGACCTCCAAAGATGTGATGCCGGGATATGGAACTTGGCCACCTGGGGGGCGACTCAAAAGAACCTTCCGTTTCGCCAGCGGGTTTCCCTTCCAGGCTGGGCTTGCCTCTTTGGTGCATCGAAACCGAACCAACGGATCACTAATACGAGTGGCCATTGCATACGAGTGGCGAGTGGATCTGATGGATCGCAGCCGCTGCAAGCATCCTTCTCCACATCATAAATGCAGCCGAACCTGACAGGTACGGCACGGTACGGCCGTCACAACAGACACGTCGGTTAAGCAATCTCCACGACTTATTGCTTTTTGGAAGGCACGAACACGCTACTGACGCAAGTGCTTGCTGCTTTCGAACGCCCTTCTCATTGGGAACGCAGACAAGCCTTTATGAACTGATTCTGTGCTTGAAACATGTCGTGAAGGCTGGTCAGGTGGGGGTGAAGTAGACAAGAAGCAAGCTTAGTAGCTTAACTAGCTAGTAATAGCAAGACGAAGAAGGACTGGGGTTGATCCAATGGTCAAAACGGTTTCTAGCTGTTTAAAGGGAACTAAAATGGAAAAGGAATGCCTCAAATAGATCCTGAGATACATGACTGTGATAGTACACTGATCCGGAATGTTCCCAAGAGCCACATGCAGCAGCAGTGTTCTCCATCTCCGCATTCATACGCATTCCTGCCAGGGCCCCCTCCGAGGGGCTGAACTTCTACAAAGACGTAGGACAAACGAAGGACAAACAGGTAACAAGTGCCACGCTAGTAGTAACAAGTGCCTTACTAGTAGTAACAAAAAGCCATTATAATTTAATTTAAGCTTTTTGCATAGGTTTCCCTAGTAGCGTCCGATCGCTCCTAGTAGCGAGGCCAGGAGCCCCCGTTCGTAGCTTCTTGTACCTTCTCCAGTCTTTTGACCTTTAGAACCTTCCTTCTTATCTTGCTCTTTCAACTTCTTTCTCCCTTCCTTCCCAAGATGCAAAGTTTCGCAGCAAACCTGGCTCGACTTGTCACTGTCCTTGCCCCACACTTGTCTGAACCAGATGGCCATGTCTGGGATCCTGCGACGCTTAGCAGTGCCGTGTGTCAAACGCAAAACTAGGGGAAGGGATTGCCAGCATCAAGTAGTAACAAAGGGCATTGCTACTAGTAACAAGGACGCTAGGAACGTAACTCCTGGCCTTACTAGTAACGAAGCTACTCAGCTACTAAGGGCATCAAGTTTCGTGCTGGTGCCCGGCGCTAGCGCCCCGTACCCCATGCTGCGATAACATCAAACCGGGTCATGGAACTCAACACTAGGGAAAAGAGTGCCTCTAGGAACAAATCCGCGTGATACCTTCGTGTCATGATCGCGTTCCAACAACATAGTGGAAGCACCTTAGTAAACCTCCCTGTTGGGGAAGTCAACGGCCCGAAAAAGTCGATAGAAACCCACAGTTGTTTTTCCGTTTGTTAGGCGACCTTGGACGTTTCAGAGCAACATCTTCCGAACATGGGCTCAAGGCGCTACTAGGGGCTCCTGGCATTACTACTAGGAGCGATCGGATGCTACTAAGGCCAGGTGGCACCAATGTAGCCCAAGAAAGGCGCTGTCAGATGGGCCCTACATGATGCAAGATGGGTCTGTTTCGGTTCAACTTGGGCGCACGTTGGCCCAAGGTAGTAGGCCCCAACTTGGATTCAGTTGCACTTGGCAGTGATGTTTGCGTCCGTAGCTTTCTGCACATGTTTCCTCCGTTTTCCCAAACCGACGACAATCGCTTTGTTTTTGACCGTGGGCTTGGGTGGCTTTAACTCCACTGCTGGGGTTCCATAAATCCGAATCCTCCGTCTGGTGTGCGGGCGGTGATTGTCGCCCAGCAACATCTATATATTATATATATATATTATATATATATATACTTCTTAAAGTATTAGTATGTTGTATATGTGTGTATGCGTGTGTGTCGCTCCTACAAGGCTTTCAAGAACAAAATGATTGCAAGCTTGCAGCATCCTGGAATGGGATCTGGGTGAGGAACCTTTCCTTCAAGGCCGTGCTGTCCTGCCAGACAAGCCAAAACCTCTTTGGTATAGCCAAAGCGTGGCCAAAGCGCTCAAGGTTTCTTCCATATAGCTATTACCGTGGAGGCCATTTGCTTCTAGGTTGGAGGCCAGAGCGTCACCAAAATGTTCATGGTTGTTTCCCTCAGAGTTGGAAGAGAGCGTGACATTCGTGCAAGTAAAACAGTGATCCAAAATGCGCGGGATAGTATCCAGAAGGAAGCATTTGGTGTAAGTTTCAACAAGGACAATATCAAAAACACAAAGAGGAACTGGTTTGAAATGGAGTGGCTACGAGTTGTAAATTGCATCGAGGGTTTCACTTTTGTTCCTTTCCAACACAAAGACACAAAGGAAGACTGACAATCTCACGATAATGGCTATATTCAAAGGAGGTCATGAAGTTCCTTCTGCTTTCACGCTCCAAGATGTGCTTGTGCGGAAAAGCTGGCCTCTGCCCCCAGATCTTAAGCTTCGGTCTTCCAGTTCTTGCCTCAAAAGCGAAGACGGGAAGGGATCGCTCGAAAACATCGCGCACTTCTTCCTTCAAAAGCGAAGACGGGAAGACTTGATGTCTTGCAGAGCTCTGTCGTTGGTCTGGGTCAGGCATTCGAGGCGCACGAATCTGGCGTTCGGTAAGGCCACCGCTTTGGGTTGAAACCGTTCCGTTCGTTCTTCTCGAACTGCTTTTGAGTCCAGACGGCAGTTGCACTCGACAGGAAAAAAGAAAGAACAACGAAGCAGGCATGTGTGTTCATATGCGCTGTGGCAAGGTTTTCCAGACCAGGTTTCGACCTTATCTTGGTCCAATGTTTGGGAAAGCTGCACTGGTCAAGGAAAGCAGGTGCTTTTTCGCTCAAGCCCTCAACCTACTGCTCGTGGAGTTCTTTGATGAGAAAGGATGAGCAAAGAGAGAGGGAAAGGAAGGTCTGAACGAAGCAAAAAAAAGAAGGAAGAACGGAAAAGGACAGGAAGAATGAGCTAGATGAAGGATGAGAACCAAAAACACTTGATAGACACCCTACACTCTGTACACTACATGACAACTCACCACACACCACTTCACCACTTCACTAGCAGGGAGAAGGCGACAAGCGAAAGGGAAAAGAATGAGTAGCCACAGATAGTCATGGATACTTACCCTCTTAGCGTTATTTCTTGTTTCTATCTTTACACCTTGTTTTCCTTCCTGTCCATCTTGCTTTTTACAAGGACTAAACCTTGCAGCGTTTGCTCTTGCATGCCATCGCCAGTAGGTTGGAGGCCATCCCTAGTAGGTTGGTTCTAAAGAAAGCATGCAAGCTTCCATTTTGCTGTTTTCCCAAAAACAGACGAAAGGACCGACCAGCGCAGCTCAGCATCCAGGCTGAAGTGCCCGCCCCACTCGTGCTGGCCGCTCGCTGGCCACCAGACCTATGCTACAAACGGAGCATTTCGGGCAGCTAGGAGCAAGGAAGCTACTAGGGGCTCCTGGCCTTACTACTAGGAGCAAGGACGCTACTAGGGG